TTCATCGATTAAGCGAAATCGAATATAATAATTATCTTTGTAACATCAAAAATAATCGATTATTCGAAAATAATCGATTTAAAAAAATGATTAGTAATCGATTGATGGATTATTTTGTCCACCCCTACATGCAACCATATAATTTATTGATAACGTTAATATTTAAAACATAATTAAAATAATTTTATTCTGTTTGATTTTACTTTTAATGGCAACCTATTACACATTTAAAAGTGAATATAGTCCAGTAACTGAAGACCTGAAAATATGCAAAACTGTCATTAAGTCGGTCCAGATTTCCTTTGTGGCTCAATTCTTAGGTCTTGACGGTTGCTTTCAAGGGCGAAAACTTTTACTGCGTCGGAAAGGGCCCAAAATGAACCCTAAAACAGGTTTCCCGCCAATATCTTCCACAATATGCAAATTAGAGATTTTTGTTTAGATAAAAAATAAATATTTTATGATTATCTACAAAAATGGTCCCTATCATTTTTGTCGGGAATTCGACAGGTTTCGAGATAACCGCAATCAAAAGTCCCCTCGTTCATCCCCTGCTTTATCTCTATAGCAATGCTGATTAGCTTGTAAACGGGTGAACAAATTGTTTCAGAACTCGGTCAAAAATTGATATTTTTCGATGATCCAAAGTTCATTACAATGAGAAAATCCATAGGTATCGATCCATGTGCCTTGAAAGCCCGTTATTTCCTGTCAAGAACATTGAAAAAGGGGTCAAAGTCGCGTTTTCCCACTATTTTGGACCACTTTATAGTAATTCATTCATATTTTTTTTTCTTTTATTAGTTTTTTATCCCGTTTTTATTTTAAATGGGATCTTGAGATGTCTCGAATGATCTCATAAATTTTTTTCCAGTATCTTCCTGGCGTTTTAAAACAAAATTGATTTGTTTATTTGCATTTTTCATACGTTTTCGGAGTTCTAGAAATCTTTGAAACAAGCAGTAATTAAAAACCCATATTTCATTATATTGTTATTCAATGCACACTATTTTAAAGCTTAGAGTGTCTACTTTTCGAATGTATTTTTTTAAATAAAAAATGCAAATAAACAAATCAATTTTGTTTTAAAACGCCAGGAAGATACTGGAAAAAAATTTCTGAGATCATTCGAGACATCTCAAGATCCCATTTAAAACAAAAATGGGATAAAAAACTATTAAAAGAAAAAAATATGAATGAATTACTATAAAGTGGTCCAAAATAGTGGCAAAACGCAACTTTGACCCCTTTTTCAATGTTCTTGACAGGAAATAACGGGCTTCAAAGAACATGGATCGATACCTATGGGTTTTCCCATTATAATGAACTTTGAATCATCGAAAAATATCAATTTTTTGACCGAGTTCTGAAACAATTTGTCCACCCGTTTACAAGCTAATCAGCATTGCTATAAAGATAAAGCAGAGGCTGAACGAGGGGACTTTTGATTGCGGTTATCTCGAAACCTGTCGAATTCCCGACAAAAATGATAGGGAGCATTTTTGTAGATAATGATAAGATCTTTCTTTTTTATCTAAACAAAAATTCTCTAATTTGCATATTGTGGAAGATATTGGCGGAAAACCAGTTTTAGGGTCCATTTTGGGCCCTTTCCGACGCAGCAGCGTTGGTAAAAGTTTTTGACCTTGGAAGCGACCGCCGAGACCTAAGAGTTGAGCCACAACGGAAATCTGGACCGACTTAATGACAGGTTGGTCCCTTCAGTTACTGAACTAATACTAATTCACAGTCCTTTAAATTAATATGCAGTGTGTTTCAAAAAGGTATGTCGTAAATTCTTCCTCAGATAGATTACCAAAAAATAAGTGAATTTGGCTATATTTATCTATTTTAAAAACTGACTCCCAACAAAGTTACAGGGCGTTAAACTAACATTCAGAAGAACGTTTTTTTTTTTGTATAAAATTTTCTGTGGCGATTTTTTCTTTGAAATTTTTGCCAGTGCTGTAGATTTGAAGGCCCAATATTCTAAGGAGAAAAAAAAATTTAAAGCGACCTCTTTAAAAAAATTTGGGGGGTTGGGTACCTTTTAACCCTCTCGTATTTTTTTGACATAAAGAGACTTGCATTACCGATCTTAAAATCAAAAAAAACTATTAATTTTTATTTTTTTTTTTATCGAGCATTGAACTTTGTATCTTACTTAGTTAACGAGATATTTACAATTTTTTAATTGAATTTCTAGAGCAATTCGTCCGTCCTGGACAACAAAACCAAGAGTAGGTCATGAGTTATTGTACAAAAAAACGCATATAAAAATTGGTAGTGTGCCTAGGGCTGTTCTTGAGCCGCCCCTGCAAAAACTACTTCTTTTATTTATATTTTTGTAAAAAAAGTATTTATAATATTGGATTGGCGCCATAAAAATGGTGTGCCACCCGTCCTCATGCCACTGATAAAAATACACTTTAGGTTGGAAATGTATTTATTAAATTTAATTGTAATTAAAAATATTATTTTTTTAATTAAACAATTAACAATTAAAAATAAACACTTTACAATAATTATTATACAGGGTGTTATTGAAATACACGTACATATTAAAACTGGGTATTGCGCAGATCCCCACTGAATGTAGAAAAATATTATTTTTTAAAAATACCCCTTATTAAGGGAGTTATTAATTTTTGAAAATTAATTCTAAAACAAACGTACTTCACTGATATGTTGAGGATGACCTATATAAATTAGGTTTATTTACCTATTTTAAACATCAACAGTAATTAATATGCAAGTTTTTGTCAGATGATAAGAAAACTAGTCTTGTAAGAAATAACCATGTTGCCAAGATTTTCGAATTAATTTCTATTTCCGAAGACTGGTTTTTACTACCCTCGTTATCAAAAAACTAGAATATTTGATAAATGATTGTTTTTAAACTATACATTTTTGAAACTATAGATTATTAAAATTTTAGTTGATTTATGAATCTGGCTAACACGAGCGCGTCATTTCCAAGTTGGTAAAAAGTGTTGTTACGATTACTTTTAAATATTTTTTTACGATGCCACTATTTACGAATATTGAACTAACGGATATAGTGCTGGTTTATGGGGCAGCTGGAGAAAATTCTCGGCAAGCACAAATCCTGTATCGCGAACGGTTTCCAAATCGGAGAATTCCGGACTGTCGTACGTTTATTTCAACTGTTCAGCATCTAAGAGACCATGGAAAATTTGAGAGTGTCAATGCAGATCGAGGGAGAACAAGAACACAAAGAACATTGGCGGCCGAAGAAGAAATATTGGAAGCTGTTGAAAACCGGCCTCAATTAAGTTGTAGAAGACTAGGTCTTGAAATTGGAGTGTCCTCATTTGTTGTGTGGCGGACACTTAAAGAACAAGGTTTACATCCTTGTCACATCCAAAAAGTCCAGGCCTTATATCCAGGTGATGAAGAAAAGAGAGTGGAGTTTTGTGAATGGATGATTCAAAAATGTGTTGATATTCCTGATTTTCTAAAAATATTATTGTATACTGACGAGGCTTCATTCACTCGTCATTCACGCGTCACAATACGCATATTTGGAGTGATGAAAATCCTCACGCCATTAGGGAAACTGGGCATCAAAGAAAATTTTCAATAAATGTTTGGGCTGGCATAATAGATCAGTATTTAATCGGGCCTTATGTTCTCCCGAACAGATTAAATGGGCCAGGATATCTCCACTTTTTAGAAGATATTTTGCCAGTACTCCTAGAAGAGATACCGTTACAATTAAGGCAACGGATGTGGTACCTACTAGATGGCGCTCCTCCTCACTTTGATTTAAACGTACGGCAGTTTTTGAACATTAGATTTCCTCAAAAGTGGATAGGCAGAAATGGACCTACTAAGTGGCCTCCGAGATCTCCGGACTTAAATCCATGCGATTTATTTTTGTGGGGTCACATAAAACAACTGGTTTATAATGAACCTATTAATAGTGTTGAACAATTAACCAATAAAGTTAATGCGGTAGCCGAGGAACTACGACAAAATCCAAAACTAATTTCTAATGTTTAAAGTTCTTTGGAAAGACGATTGCAAGTGTGTGTAAATAATAATGGACGGCATTTTGAACAATTACTGTAATAAACTTTATTTTGAATTAATTGGTTTTGCTACGGCAACAGTGCAATTTCTATGGGTAAGTTCAATTTCGATTTATTTTACTTCTTTAAATATGGAAACTAGTAGGTCGGAAAAGGGGACTCTTCCCCAATATTTAAATTTTATAATTTGAAGTTAAAATTGGTGCCAATCGTTTTTGGTCATTACATACTATTCCCCATTTTAATATGTACGTGTATTTCAATAACACCCTGTATATATTATATAAACTATTTAATTTAGTAAATTTTCAACATGTCCTCCTTCTTGATTATGAAAATGTAAATAAAAGAGGTAGTTTTTGCAGGGGCGGCTTAAGCACAGCCATAGGCACACCACTGATTTTTATATGCGTTTTTTGTTTAATAACTCCTGAGTTACTCTTAGTTTTGTTGATATGTTAAGTCCAAGATGGACGAATTGCTCTAGAAATTCAGTTAAAAAATTGTAAATAGCTCGTTAACTAAGAAAGATACAAAGTACATTCCATAATAAAAAAAATTTAAAAATGTATACTTCTTTTTGATTTTAAGATCGATAAAGCAAATTTCTTTATGTCAAAAAAATACGGGGGTGTTAAAAGGTACCCAACACCCCAATTTTTTTAAGGGGGTCTCTTTAATTTTTTTTCTCCTTAAAATATTGGGCCTACAAATCTACAGCATTCAAAGAAAAAATCGCAACAGCAAACCTTTTACAAAAAAAAACCGTCGTTGTTTTGAATGTTAGTTAGTTAGTAACTTTGTTAGGAGCCAGTTTTTGATATAAGTTAATATAGCCAAATCCACTTATTTTTTGGTAATCTATCTGAGGAAGAATTTACGATATACCTTTTTGAAACACCATGTGCAATATGCTATTTACACTATTATATTAATTAAACTCACTTGAAAAAATAAGCAAAAACACACCCACTGGTAATACTTGTACAACTTCTTATCCTTGTCATCGTGCGAGGTCCTGATACCAGGCAGATACATATTCGCCACAGGTTCCTGTTTATTAGTTGCCACCGTGAACGTCGAATGTATCCAACAGAACGTATTAAAAACATCCTCAGGAATATCCTTCGTATGGATACAATCTATCGGATTCCCCACGTACTGCCTGGTAGTCACAATCAGGCTAAAAGCTATCAATATGCTCGAAGTCAATGAATAGTGTAGCCTAAATATCGGCGAGTCGATGTGTATGTGACTGACCCGTATTAGAGCCTTTAGGCCTCTAAAAATGTCTAGCATCGTGTGCGTGGGGCTATCTAAGACTCGGTCATGTTTTGGTTATCTTTTCGTCAGCGGTTGGTTGGATGATTTGAAACTGCTAGACATCATTATTTCCGAGATGGTTATTTTTGGTGATGTCTTTACCATTGCGATGTGGTACCTGAAATAATAATTTATTTTTAAATAATATTAATAGTGAACAAATAAGTCAAACAAGAAACTAACTAAGCGGGTAATAGGAAACATCAATCCACGTCTTGTGTTAGTGTGAAGGCCTGGCTAGATTGAGGTATCTAATACTTGGCGAAGAAAAGCCAAAAGCATAACTACATGCGGGAACTACTGTCAAAGCTACTAAGTGTATTAAAAAGGACAAATGTTTAACCCCTTTCAAATATATTTATCTATCTAATAGAACCCTGCGATTCAATTTTGAGATAAAATTATTATACATGAAATAATAAGACTTTTAATGAGTATTGTGATACTCGTTACGATTTTATTTTTATATACTACACTTGCTATTCAAACATAGAGAGTATAATACATATTGTTAGGTTATTTAAAGTTGAAATTTAAATGTATCAGTTCAAAGGGACTTTTTGAGCGTACCTCATAGAATAAGATTATGTTTTTGAACTATGTATGAGCGGTAATATGCGATGATGACTTGGACATCGTGAAAAAAGGGAAATAAGCAAACGATATTTTTAACTAATGATCTAGCATTTTTGTCATTACCTATAACCTCTTTATTTTTTCCCTTTGATGAGTGATTTGTTAGCCAAAACTTGAGCTATTAGTGTGCAGGTCTGAAGTTTTGCTCGTGGTAAGGTTGAATAGTTTCTTGATTTTATATTGTATAAAATTGGTAGCTTTAGTGTTGCTTTAGTGTTGCAATTTTTGTTTTCAGTGTTAAGGTTATTTGCTTGCAGGACTTAAGTGACATGGTAATTTAGCTGGTATAGATATTATACCGTTGGTCGTAGGTAGATAATAATTTTAGGTTAAAAAAATTTTTTAACCACCTGTTTGATTTCCACGGATAGCCATCCACTTTGCATGGTAAAATTAAAGAATGATAAAAAGGCTGTGTGTGTACCGATCTTTTCGTTCAATCAACTCCACGCAAATCTTTCTTCCTTCTCTTATTTCTGAATTTGAGTTTGTTTTAATTAAAGTGAGGTTGTAGAAGTGATGATTTAATATTTAGCAATAGGTAAGACAGCAGCTTTTTCTTTATTATTTTTAAGGTGAATTGTTGGCTAAACGCTGCATTAGAGCGTTGTTTGACGACTAAGGGTATTTGTTGCAGGGATTTACTGATTAACTGATGTATATTCCACTAATTTAGGTCTATATCGTTGGTTAGGGGTAGATTTCATTAACTCGTCTTATAGATTTTGCCGATAGAGGTACATTTTCAGTGAATGAGGTTTGGTTGATTTGTTTAAATTTGTCGGTAATATAAAATTACTAAATTTGGTTATTTTTTTTGCTAATATCAATTTATGAGTGTAACATATCAGTGGATTACTGATTCTTGGTTTAATTTAATTTTTTTTGTAAATATTAATGCCCTATAAAAATCATTTCTTTTTTGTAAGTAATAGTATCGTGTTTAGGTAGCAATTTGCGTATCGGGTAAAATAATAAATTTGGTTCCATTGCTTGTGGCAAAATGCCAGACCTGAATCAGCTGATAATTTTGCGAAGACAACATTGTTACTAGATAGCTTTTTATATAAAGGTTCTTTTCTCTTCATTGTCACTGTATCCTTCTTATCAATTAATCCATGCTATTAATTCTGTGGAGTAAATAAAAAAAGATACCTACTATTTTTGTTCAGGTAGTGTCTAAAATATTATTAGGCTAGTGACGTTATTTGTTAATTTTATTGATGAATTTTATTGATAAATTTAATCAATTGATGAATTTTACTCATTGGATGTAAAAGACGCAGTCATAGAACCCCAAACAAGAAGAATGAATTTCATTGATAAATTTTATTGATGAATTTCATTGAAGAATTTCATTGATGAATTTAATTGATTAATTTCATTGATGAATATCATTGATGAATTTGAATTTTATTGCTGAATTTCATTGATGAATGTCATTGATAAATTTAATTAATGAATTTCACTGATTAATTTCATTGATGCATTTTATTAATGAATATTATTGATAAAATTTATTGATTTGATGAATTTTATTGATGAATTTTATGGATAAATTTTATTGATGAATTTTATTAATCCATTTTATCGTTGAGTTTTTTTAATAAATTTCATTGATGAATTTTGTTGATAAATTTTATTAGTAAATTTTATTGATCAATTTTATTGATGAATTTTATTAATAAATAAATTTTATTGTTGAATGTTATTGATAAATTTTATTGATGAATTTTAGTGATAAATTTTATTGATGAATTTTATTGATGAATTTCAATGATTAATTTTATTAATGTATATTATTGATAAATTTTATTGATTTGATGAATTTTATTGATTAATTTTATGGATAAATTTTATTAATGAATTTTATTAATGCATTTTATCGATGAATTTTTTAAATAAATTTTATTGATGAATTTTAGATATGAAATTATTGATAAATTTTATTGATGAATTTTATTAAAAAATAATTTTTATTAATGAGTATTATTGATTTGATGAATTTTATTGATGATTTTTATTGACAAATTTTATTGATTTAATGAATTTTATGGATAAATTTTATTGATAAATTTTATTAATGCATTTTATCGATGAATTTTTTTAATAAATTTTATTGATGAATTTTGTTGATGAATTTTGTTGATGAATTTTATTGATGACTTTTATTGATGAATTTTACTGATAAATTTAACGATGAATTTTATTAATGAATTTTAATAATAAATAAATTTTATTGATAAATTTTATTGACGAATTTTTTTAATAAATTTCATTGATAAATTTTGTTGATGAATTTTATTGATGAAATTATTAATAAATTTTATGGATGAATTTAATTGATGAATTTTATTGATGAGTTTTATTAATGACATTTATTAATGAATTTTACTGATAAATTTAACGATGAATTTTATTAATGAATTTTAATAATAAATAAATTTTATTGTTAAATGTTATTGATAAATTTTATTGATTTGGTGAATTTTATTGATGAATTTTATGGATAAATTTTATTGATGAATTTTATTAATGCATTTTATCGATGATTTTTTTTAATAAATTTCATTGATGAATTTTGTTGATGAATTTTATTGATAAAATTATTGATGAATTTTATTGATGAATTTTATTGATGTCTTTTATTGATGAATTTTATTGATGAATTTTATTGATGAATTTTATTGATGAATTTTATTGATGACTTTTATTGATGAATTTTACTGATAAATTTAATGGTGAATTTTAATAATAAATAAATTTTATTGTTAAATGTTATTAATAAATTTTATTGATTTGATGAATTTATTGACGAATTTTAGTGATAAATTTTATTGATGAATATTATTAAAAAATAATTTTTATTAATGAGTATTATTGATAAATTTTATTGATTTGATGAATTTATTGATGAATTTTTTTAATAAATTTCATTGATGAATTTTGTTGATGAATTTTATTGATGAAATTATTGATGAATTTTATAGATGAATTTTATTGATGAATTTTATTGATGACTTTTATTGAAGAATTTTATCAATGAATTTTATCAATGCATTTTATCGATACATCTCATTAATAAATTTTATTAATGCATTTTATTAATGAATTTTAATATAAAATTTTATAGATGAATTTTGTTGATGAATTTTACTGATTAATTTTATTGATGAATTTTATTAATGACTTTTATTGATGAAATTTATTGATAAATTTTATTGATTTTTATTATGTACTATCTAAATTTACAAACTAACTGCTCATAATATGATAATTTACATTGTTTGTTTTACAAGTAAACGAATTTTTTCGTTTTCCAATCAGCTGGTTTCATTGATTTCCAATAATGCTGGGTATAGAAAAAAGTTTATTCTTGGTTGAAAAAGAAAAATTGGAATAGTTGGCATTTTTCGTTTATTGGCATTAACAATAAACACTAAAAAATTGAAAAAGTAACGGCAATACTATTTTTTTAAATTAATGATGTGTATTTCAAAAGCATAAACGTCTAAATTGGTGGATAATTTTAGAATGTAGACCTTTTTAAAAATTTAAAAATTGAATTAAAGCTAAATTTTTGTGCATTGCAGCAAGTTGATACAGTACTGTTAATTATTTTCCATTAAGTCACCAAACAAAAAGGTGCAAAAGTGGGTAGGATATCAGGATGTTCTTGAAGTATATAGAATACAGAACAGAATCCTGAATTTTATAAATTAAATGTGGAATTTAATGATAAAACGAAAGAGATAATCAATTGAGAAATACCGAGAAAATACTTGCTACTAAAAATTATTTTTGACTTATTCACCTGTTACGCTTATATCTCATTCATACACACATTTGATAAATAACACACAACACGAATTTTTACAATACACGTAAACTAATGAGTTTATTTTAGTAAAATAACGATTAGCTATAACTATAGAAGCTTGGATCTTTTTTTTAATTCTATATCAATCTCACGTCAAAAATAAAAGCATAATGAGGTAAATATTTTATGAAAGTAATGATATAGAATCGATGAAACAAGATTTGTTTATTTTAATTTCTCAGTTGGTTTCTGAATAATTTTAAATGTTTCCTGGCCCACAGTGATATGGAGTGACGTTATATGATACACATGTAGAGGGTTTAAGAATTAAAACATGATGAAAACAAATTTTAAGTGTAGAACAATTCGGATCTCTCGAATCGTAGAACTTTTGGAAAAATCCACAAAAATATTAAGACACTTGTTCTTGACGAAAGCTCTCATAAGAAGAACAAAATGGCATATTCCCTTTTGATAAGACCCTCCAAGTTATTAAATAGTTTGCTAGTTTATAAGTTCCAATACTTGAAAAGAGACTGACTTATGTCTTATCTAGTTGGTAGACAAAGACAAAACGTTTTAATTAAGAGTCTAGTTCTAGTACATTTCTTAGAACTGGTAGATGAATGAATGATTACTTAATTCATATTACTAATTATTCA